ACATCACAAATTGGTCAGCTGGAAAATACCGGCTCACGGAATTAGGCAGACCTTGGAAATATTTGAAACATTTCATTCAATATTAAACCACATTCATTAATTGATATCACTACCATCAGAATAGTCTTTAAGTATTGAAAAACTGTCAGCTTCATCATAGTGATTACATGTTTTTCAAAATTCTGATTTTCACTTGAGAGTTCGATTTTTATCATTGGTAACAAACCTGTATTGTTCAATGGCCAACTGCATTCTTTGTGTATGATTTAAGTGGGTTGGCAATTTGAGCAAGGCTCATCTGTCACAGATTGCGTCTATTCCACATGGTTTTGGCTAGGCTCACTCATTTGTTTGGTCAGTTGGCACGTTAGCTAGGGGCTGATTGGCCTGGATAGCCTCATTCACATGTCTAGCATTGGGCTAGAGCCGTCATCTAGGTTGGTATGGCCTCTTGCAGGCTGGCTTGGCTTCTTTGTATGATGGTTAGGTTCCAAGAGGTTTTGGGTGGAAACTGAAAGGCTTCTTGAGGCCTGGGCTTGGAGCTTGCAGTGTCATTCATGCAGCATTCTGATGGTTAAAGCAAGTCATAAGGCCAGCTGAGATTCAAGGGGTAGGGACATGAACTGCACTTTTTTTTTTTTTTTTTTTGAAATGAACTGCACTTCTTATTTTTTATTATTATTTTTTGAGACGGAGTTTTGCTCTTGTTGCCCAGGCTAGAGTGCAATGGCACCATCTGGGCTCACCACAACCTCTGCTTCCTGGGTTCAAGTGATTCTCTTGCCTCAGCCTCCTGAGTAGCTGGGATTACAGGCGTGTGCAACCATACCCAGCTAATTTTGCATTTTTAGTAGAGATGGGTTGTTTTATGTTGGTCAGGCTGGTCTCGAACTCCTGATGTAAGGTGATCCACTCGCCTCGGCCTCCCAAAGTGCTGGCATTGCAGGTGTGAGCCACTGTGCCCAGCCTGATGGAACTGCACTTCTTGATGGGAATTACTACACATGACTGTGGCCCACGTTAAAAGTGGGCATAGTTCGTTATTGTTCCACTTTTTTCCCCTTCCCTTTCTCTCTTTTATTCTTTTTAAATGAAATGGATGTTTTGTTTGTTTTTGTTCTCCTGATGTGTCTTTCTTTTTGAAGTTCCTTTTAGAACAAAGCTTACTTACTTAAATATTTCTGTGATTATTTGGTGTGGCCAGGGACTGATATTTTCACGTCACAGCTTAGCAACTATTTTTCAGATTACTGTAATAATACTGAACATCTGTTAATGCTGAAAAAAAAAAAAAATAGTGTTTCTTCCCCAGGTGATTTTGATCTCTTTAAAAAATTGGTAGTTGCTGAGGGTTAACACTCTGGTCCTTTTATGGGCTCTGTTTCCAGCTCTTTAGGGCTTGTTAGTCATTGAGAGTTACTAATATTGACCTGAAAATTTTTTTTTCTTTAGCTGGTTGCTTCATGAAGTCAGAGGGAAAGGCTCCATCTCAGGAGCAGGAGAAGGTGTCTGGATAGTAGTTATCTTGAGTAGACAGTGTTTTTATATGTGAAATAAGCAATAATCTTTGGCAAGCCAGTGACTTGTCAGCCCGTCAAGATGAATCAGCAGCCTAGGTGAGGTGAGAATGTCAGCACAGTGAAACCCTTGCTGTGAGTTTATTGGGCATCTTCTCATTAAGGTAGCTGTCATAGCTCCTATTTTAGAGAAAAGTAGGAATCATTGTTCAAGATTCAGCTGACTTTAAAAACTATTTCAGAGGGGGAAGGTCCCTTTTAGTATAATGACACCATTGGAAATGACATGTGGCTGTTCTTCAGATTACAGCCATTTTGGTGTGCCCAGGTGTTAACAGTTGTTAGGATCGTTAAAACTTGTCTTCAGGTGACTAAAGACTATTCTCCAAGTTTTTATTAATTGTCTTGGGTCCTAGACAAGTGGACTTGTTAACTGTAGTTTCTGATTTATCTGTTGCTCAAACCTGTGATAATTTGATAGGCATAGGAACTCAGAGGTGGCATTTTATTGCAAAAGATTGTTGTTGGCTGCTAAATACAGCTGCTTAGAAGGCCTAGGGCAAAGTGTCTGTTTTTCTGGTGACAGGGTCATTATTAAAGCTTTGTTTTATTTTATCATTATTTTTTGAGGTGGAGTCTTGCTCTGTCACCCAGGCTAGAATGCAGTTGTGTGATCTCAGCTCACTTCAACCTCCGCCTCTCTGGTTCAAGCAATTCTTCCGCCTTAGCCTCCGAGAAGCTGGGACTACAGATGTGCACCACCATGCCAGCTAATTTTTGTATTTTTAGTAGAGATGGGGGTTTCCCCATGCCGGCCAGGCTGGTCTTGAACTCCTGACCTTGTGATCTGCCTGCCTCAGCCTCCCAAAGTGCTGGGATTACAGGTGTGCGCCACTGCACCTGGCCTAAAGGTTTATAGAATGCTCCAGTAGTTGGATGGCTGAGTTCAGTTTCTTTCCACTCTTGTGAAGTTATCTTTAAGACATTTGGAATCCTTCACAGAAGTCTTAGCAGTGATTCTCTTATAGATGTTTGCTACTTGGGTCAATTTAGCCTAAATTATTCTAAGCTATGGGGGACTCCTCCATGCTGTGGTGGTAGCCAGATCTTTGACAATTGCTGCTGCCTCAGAAGATTGAATTTGGGCTCCACAGAGCCAGAGAACTGTTAACTGCCAGATGTGACTGCCATCTTATTTTCTGAGTGTAAATTTTACCTTCAGAGAAAGGAAGAGATGGCTGAGCACAGTGGCTCATGCCTATAATCCCAACACTTTGGGAGGCTGAGGTAGGCGGATCACCTGAGGTCAGGAGTTTGAGACCAGCCTGACCAACATGGTGAAACTTTGTCTTTGCTAAAAATACAAAAATTAGCTGGGCATGGTGGTGAGCCCCTGTAATCCCAGCTACTCGAGACGTTGAGGCAGGAGAATGGCTTGAACCCAGGAGGTAGAGGTTGCAGTGAGCTGAGATCACGCCACTGCACTCCAGCCTGAGCGACAGAGTGACTCCATTTCAAAAAAAAAAAAAAGAGAGGAAGGAGGAGAGATTTCTGAGAATACAAAGCCGTTTGTTAGAATGAGAAAAGAACAAGGTTTTGACAGTATGGCCATTTTACTGGCTGTACCAGTAAGCTTTAAACGCCTTAAGAAACCCAAATTTACTTCAGAAGAAGTAACTTCTTAGCTTTGTAAATGCACCAACCAATTAGAAAAACTGTTTCAGTGCTTATTTATTATGTGTCAGACACTATCTAGCATTGTAGGTACAGATATGAACAAGATAATAAAAGATTTCTTTTTTTTTTTTTTTTTTGGATGGAGTCTCACTTTTCACCCAGGCTGGAGTGAAGTGGCAAAATCTCAGCTCACTGCAATCTCCGCCCCACCTCCGAGTTCAAGCGATTTTCCTGCCTTAGACTCCCGAGTAGCTGGGATTATGGGTGCCTGCCACCATGCCTGCCTAATTTTTGTATTTTTAGTAGAGATGGGGTTTCACCATGTTGGCCAGGCTGGTCTCAAACTCCTCACCTCAGGTGATCTGCCTGCCTCAGTATCCCAAAGTACTGGGATTACAGATGGGAGCTACCGCACCCCACTGATAATAAAAGATTACCCTCACAGAGCTTATGTTTTTTGTCTAGGAAGATAGACAGTTTTCAAATAAATAAAGATAATTGCAGATGATGATATATTTTCCGTGAAGAAAATATATGTGGTGATGTGATAGAGAGCAAGAGTGGGTACTTCAGATTTGGGTGGTCAGGGAAGACCTCTTTGTAGTGACATACAAACTATTCTGTGAAGGGGAGGCAGAACCAGCATATCCTTGATGGGCAGGGAGTGATCTGGGCAGAGGGAACAGCAAATTCAAAGCCTTTTGGGAGAACTTGATTTGGTATGTTCAAGAATGAGCAGGGGCTAGATATGGTGGCTCACTCCTGTAATCTCATCATTTTGGGAAGCTGAGGTGGGGGGATCACTTGAGTTTAGGAGTTTAAGACCAGCCTGGGCAACATAATGAGACCCCCATCTCTATTAAAAAAAGAAAAAAAAGAACTAGCAGAGGCCAGATTTTGTAAGGTGCTCTGTAGACCTTGCATGGGATTATGGGAAGCCATTTATGGCAGGCAGCCAGTTGAACAAGAAGCTAAATGATCTGATTTACATTTTGAAAAGATCACCCATGCTTCTCTGGGGAGAATGGACTGTGGGGTGCCAAGAGTGGAAGATGTTGTATTTTATTTAAAAAAAGCTACAGGCTATTTGAGGGTTATGGAAGATAGAGGGCAGAAAGGAATTGAACTTCTTCAAGAGAGTATTTCACATGTTTTTCTTGAGATGGAGTCTTGCCTTGTTACTGGGGCTGGAGTGTTGTGGCGCAGTCTCAGCTCACTACAGCCTCTGCCTCCCAGGTTCAAGTGTTTCTCCTGCCTCAACCTCCCGAGTAGCTGGGATTACGGGCATCTGCCACCATACCCAGCTAAATTTTTATATTTTTAATAGAGATGGGATTTCACCATGCTGGTCAGGCTAGTCTTGAACCCCTGACCTTGTGATTCGCCCACCTCAGCCTCCCAAAGTGCTGGGATTACAGACATGAGCCACCGTGCCCAGCCTAGACTACTCTTATGAATGAGCTGGAAAAAACAAAAAATGACAACAAAAAAGCAGCTGAAGAATTTCAGAGAGTAAACTGGGTGACTAATTTATATTAGAAAGTGGTAGACCAAGAACTGCTTATATGAAGAGGGAATTAATGTGGAGAGGACCAAAATGCAGATTTTTTTTTTTTTTTTAAATTGTGAATTGACAATGGGAATACATATAGAGGGTTCACGGTAGGGGCAGGGTTGTGAGATACAATGTGAGCCAAGGAAATTGGGAAAGATGATATTAGGAGTTGCTACTGTGGATTTTGAATTGGAACTAATATATTAAGGTTTAGAATTGCTTTTAACTTGCTTTTTTTCCTTTTTTCCGAGGTCAGACTTGTTTCTTACATGTGATCCATTCCAGCACTGGACTGATGGAGGCTGAGCATTTCTTCAGGTAATAATAGTTAACATTTATGGAGGACTTTCTATGTGCTGAGCAACAAATTAAGTGTTATACATCTATTTCATTTAATCCTCACACAACCACGTAGTGTTGGAAGTATTTTTGTACCTATTTAGTAGATGAAGAAAATGAGATTCAGAGAGTGTATTGAGTGAGTTCAGAGCCGGGTGTGGTAGCTCACGCCTGTAATCGCAGCACTTTGGAAGGCTGAGGTGGGCAGATCACCTGAGATCAGGAGTTTGAGACCAGGCTGGCCAACATGGTGAAAGCTGTCTATACTAAAAATACAAAAAAAAAAAAAAAAAAAAGTTAGCTGGACATGGTGGCATGCACCTGTAATCCCAGCTACTTGGGAGATTGAGGCAGGAGAATGGCTTGAATCTAGGAGACGGAGGTTACAGTGAGCTGAGATCAGACCACTGCACTCTAGCCTGGACAACAGAGTGAGACTCTATCTCAAAAAAAAAAAATAGAGTGAGTTCAGCTGAATTAAAAAATAAACCCTACTGCTGCAGTTGAAATAAGAGATGCTATTAGCTTAGGTTAGATGATACTATTGCTCACCTACCATAAATATCATAAACATAAAGTGGTTCTACCCCCAAATACCATAACTTATTCCCACTAATGAATATATCATAGTTTGGTTTGTCTTTAAAATAATGGCTGGCTGGATATGGTGCCTCATGCCTTGCCGTCCCAGTACTTTAGGAGGTCGAGGTGGGAGGATTGCTTGAGCCCAGGAGTTTGAGACCAGCTTGGGCAATGTGGCAAGAGTCCGTTTCTATTATAAAAAATGAAATAAAACAAAACAATGGATATACCTTTTAGTAAAGAAAAATCCAGATTAGGATTTTTAACCCTAGGCTTTTCTAATTTTTTTATAAAGTAGTTTTGAAATAGTTAAAATTTATTTGAAAGAATATTCATATAAGGTAAATATGTATAACTAGGGAATTCTTTCTTAACAGGTGATTAATATTAGATAACAGAAATCTCTTGATTCCTTCCTCCTTGAGATATTGTTCACAGTTATTTTGAGCTTTAAGAAGCCTTATTAGAGTTTCTCATAGTAGCTTTCTTGCTGCATTTAAATGCTTATATACAGATTACATTAATTACAGTATTATCATATGATTTATTGAGTGGCCAGCATTAATACATTTGTCCTATTTTTCTTTCTGTTTTTAAAAAAAGACCTTTATTGAAGTACAGTTGACATAAACTGCCCATATTAAAAGTGTACATGCTGTGCTTGGTGGCTCACGCTTGTAATCCTAGCACTTTGGGAGGCTGAGGTGGGCAGATCGTTTTTGCCCAGAAGTTTAAGACCACCCTCGGCAACATGGTGAAACCCCATCTCCACAAAAAATACAAAAACTAGCTGGGTGTGGTGGGGGGAGCCTGTAGTCCTAGCTACTCAGGAGGCTGAGATGAGAGGATCACCTGAGCCTGGGAGGTCGAGGCTGCAGGGAGCCATGATAGTGCCACTGCATTCCAACCTGGGTGACAAAGTGAGACCCTGTCTCAAAAAAAAATTTATAAAATTTAAGTTTTGGGGCCGAGCACAGTGGCTCATGCCTGTAATCCCAGCACTTTGGGAGGCCGAGGTGGGCGGATCACAAGGTCAAGAGTTCCAGACCAGCTTGGCCAATATGATGAAAACCCGTCCCTACTAAAAATACAAAAATTAGCTTGGTATGGTGGCGAATTCCTGTAATCCTAGCTACTCGGGAGGCTGAGGCAGGAGATTGCTTTAACCGGGAGGCGGAGGTTGCAGTGAGCTGAAATCATGCCACTGCACTCCAGCCGGGGCTACAGAGCAAGACTGCTTCTCAAAAAAAAAGACACAGTGGCTCATGCCTATAATCAAACCCAGCACTCTGGGAGGCCAGGATGCACGGATCATTTGAGGTCAGGAGTTTGAGACCAGCCTGGCCAACATGGTGAAACCTTGTCTCACTAAAAATACAAAAATTAGCTTGGCGTGGTGATGGGCAACCTTAATCCCAACTATTCGGGAGGTTGAGGGAGGAGAATTACTTGAATCCAGGAGGCAGCTGTTGCAGTGAGCCAAGATTGCGTCACTGCACTTTAGCCTGGGTGACAGAGTGAGACCGTCACAAAAAAAAAAAAAAAGAAAAATTTAAGTTTCGACATGTATACACCCATGAAATTATTACCATAATCAAGCCCTAGAAGTTTCCTTATCCCCATTTGTAATAATCCTCCAACCTCTGTGGTCTCCAGGCAACTACTGATCTACTTTGTGTCACTATAGAATAGTTTGCATTTTCTAGAATTTTATATAAATGGAGTCATAAAGTGTATACTCTCTCTCTCTCTCTCTCCTTTTTTTTTTTTTTTTTTT